TGTTTAGGAAAATAATTGTGTATGCTGACTGAATGTTATCGAGAAATGTCGAAATTAATCACAAACTACCTGTTTCGTTAGTAATGACTACTAGAACTGTTTGCATTGCCATCTAACATTTGCGGGCGGAAACTAAGTTAAGGTCCTAATATATACATATATATACATACACACCAAATATAGCACTACAAATTTTTAAATCTATATCCTCAACTTATTTTTATTCATAAAAGTGTCCCTTAAATTGGCTTAGAAACCATCTAATTAACAGAAAAACCACATTTAAAACACTTTTATCGATAAAAGTGAGTCGAGAATATTGATCTAAAGTATTTCTCAAGTCCTTCCTTCTTCAGGTGCAATTCTGTAAGAATTTATAGAACATTTATTATGTAAAATAATTTCTTTCGTTTGAAAAAATAAATATTTATGATTAATTTCTATTATAGCCTGTACGTTTTTTAAAGTTACCAATTGTTTTGTAAATAAATATAATGTGATATGATTAATAAATATATACTTGTTAATATTAACTTCCATACTTACATAAATAAAACCGGAAAATGTACGGAAAATGTAATTAATGTAGAAGAATATTTTGCAAAAGGTGCTTTAATAAAATATTGCATTTGCAATATTGTAAATTTGATCTGTGAAAAAACAAAAATTATTATTGCATATAAGTTGTTTTATTACTAATTTACTTTATGTACATAAATGGTATAATATTCCATATAGTTTTTTTTTTACAATATCAGATTAACGTTAGATAAAGACCGATCTACATTGGTTGTATTGTAACGTCATGACATCGCAAAATCGTAGCATCGTAATGTTCGTGATTAGTACAAAAGTATATACTTTTAATGATGAATATGATTACTTTTTGTGCTATATATTTTTTTAAGTAATACGACTCTAGCTCATCGCTGATTGGTTGATCGTAGCGTTGTAGAATCGTTGAAGTTTGGGTTTGACCAAACTTCTACGACGATCCATCACGACGAATCGCACGACGCTTACGACGCTACGATACGACCAATGTAAATCGGCCTTATAGTAACATGCAATAAATTCAAAAATTTTCTAAATAGTTACATAAATTTATCTAACTACATATAACTACATTAGCACGGACTAGTGTAATTCTTTGTGAAAGACTACATAAAGTATTTATGGAAAATATTACATTAATTATGCAGCATGTAAAATTATAATAACAAAACAAAATTTATTCTTATAAACTCTATATGTAGAAAAAAAATAAACATTATGAAAAATAAATTCTTTTTTAATCTCTGAATAATGTAATAAAAATTATAATAAATGAATTACATCCTTATGATATTGTTTATCATAGAACTTGTTTATCATAGAATGAAAAATTATAAATTTGTAGCTATCTTAACTTAACAAATAAAATAATTATTATTAATCTGGAAAGTATGAAACAAAAAGAGTAAAAAGAATTTACTTTTTTTGGTAATAGTGCAGATATAGCATCTATAATCATTTTTCTTTTAATATTTTTTTCGTATTCTGGGATACTATCAAATTGTATTTTTACGAATTCCATAAACACATTATCTGCCATAGATGATCTTGAAGTTTCCATGTAATTCACAATTCTGTTGCGCATATTCAGGAAAATTTGTTCTAACTCTTTAGTTTCATTTATTTTTCTTTTTTTTTTAGTTTTGGAAAACTTGCTAAAACTTCTTGATTAGAATTATTAGTTTCGATAGTTTGTTTGTTGTTTGTACTCTGATTTTCTTTATTACTTGAAGAACAAACTGATCCATATCTGATACACTGATCCATTATCTGATACACATGTTTTGGATTCTATTAAACTTTTCTTATTTGAAGTTGTATTTGATTGAGATTCTTTTACATTACTATAAGTTCTAAAACAATCATATTAAAGATGTCATGTTATATTTATAATATAAATATCATATAACTTATTTACAACCATTTAATTACCTTCGTCTTTTGATAACCTGATCCAAAAATGTCAACTAAGAATAATATGGGAACTGATGGATATTGGACTTTAAAGCAGCACTTCCACTTTTACACTGATTTTCAATTCTTTTCTTTTCGCGATTGTATTGCTCTCTTAAAGAAATACATTTTCTTTGGCAATAATCTGGTGTATAAAGATTACCTATAAGAATTTAAGAATTTAATGGAAACATATAAAAGATGATTCAGTACAAATTTTTAATACAAAATTATCACAATTTGTTGAAATCATTGTATTAGATATTTCTTTCCAAGCATTTTCTTTCATTGAGGATTTTTAAAATTAGGGTTTTTTGTCATATAAAAACGGTCGTTCTCGATATAATTCGATAAGGAATTCATCGCCACTTTTTCCTTTGCTAATAATATTTTTTGAATCATCAGAAAAATCTGGGATATCTTCAAGCCCAATATTGAGTTTATTTGTAAAACTACTACAATAATTATGATGACATTTTATACAACTTTTTAAATAGTGACCTAAAAAAAGAAGAATGTATGTGAAAACAGCAAATAAAAGAAGATTCTTTAAGCAATTTTATATTAATAACAAAGAAAAATAGTTGACAGTTAACCTAAAACTATCATTGCTTATCATATAATAAAATTTACGAAATTTACAAAAAAGGATAATTATATTACAATACATTGTATATAATTTTATTATTTCACAGGACGACTAAATACGTTTACCCTTTATTTAATTAGGAGAAGGATCAGAATATTCACTTACTTTTGGTTAGATAACACGTTAAAGGGACGTCTACATTGGAAGTAAACAGTAAGAAGTAGGAAGTAAGAATAAGAAATTGACCAA